TTTATTTTTTTGTGCTGCAGCATCCTCTGAGGACATGCACTTCCAAACATACAGTTGATAGACAGGTGAAAAAAAAGAATATTCAGTTCTGGAGCAGCAGATATTTAAATTCCAATAATATTTTCCTGTTGAGTTTTATAAATCTAGTATGAACCAGCACTGTTATTGTATATATGTGTGCAAAAATCATGCAAAAAAGTGATTAGAAATAGGTCAAGGCTGCATTTTTTAAGATACTGTGTCAGAGCCATTTCTGCTWTTTCAATTATTTTATGAACAGTTTTTTTATTGTGTTAATAGAGTATAAGCAGCAATAATTGTATGTTATTTATGGTTATTATGTGGTGCATTTTGATTGGTTGCCAGATTGTTAGTATAAAAGCGTAAAAGGCATAAACAAGGCAGAAGTTTTGCTCCCGAGAGTAACACAGCCTTCTGACCATCACTTTCTATTAGCCTTGTTTGTTCAATATTATTTTTTTAAGTTCAGTAAAGTTGAAAAAACGTAWCTGCTGAATTCAGGACTCTTATTCCATGAAGAAAGATGTCATTTTTGGAAAAAAAGATTTCTGGATGTTCAATTAGCGAGGGCCTGCCGCACTCACATACCGTCTGCTCAAAATAAACAGCATGGCATTTTTTAATGTTAATTTTCATGTAAAATGTATTTTTTACTGCATATATTTGGTATTTTGGGTCACACAAATTCAACTGAAATGCATTCTCATGTCCGTGTTAGGATTTGGTTAATGACTGGAAAAACTTCTCGAATTTTTAAATGAGTTGCAGTTAAAAAAAAGAAACGATCTTTGATGTAAAGCGTGTCATGTAACAGCCAACATACATCTAAGATGTTTTCATGTAATCTCACTGTAATTTTCCTTTGGGATCAATAAAGTATTTTTGAGTTAAATTGAAAATTTTTATGCTAGTTTTAAACAAGAAGAGACATTTTGCAGTTGGAGGTGAAAACATAKGACTATTGCATCTTCAGAAATCTGATTGAGTCCATCTTCATACTCCACTACCAGCATTCAGAATTTGACTGACAGGAAGCTGTGACCCTAAACACGTCCTGGCTTCTTAAGGAGTAATATGTGTTGGATTCAAACTTGATTTGAAGCCCAGCAGCAGACAGCAGCGGTTTTCAGGCTCTTTTTATAGGGGCAAACTGATTATTTCAAATGCCTCTTACTGACCAGAGTGGTTTGAAATGTGGGGATTTGTCTCTTGTGATAACTTGTTTTTTTTTTTTATCAGAAAGGTAGGGATTTGAGGGAGGAAGGCTGTAATCCTTTTAAACTTTCATCAAACCCTAATTATTGCATCTAAAGGTGATTGTAAAAGGTGCATCAGTTGAAAAAACTAATTTTGTGGTGTGTTTGGATCTTGTAGTGAAACAAAGAAGCTTTAAAAACATACAGCAGAACTTTCGAACAATTAAGCAGCTAACTCATTTTTTCCTGCAAAACAGGTCAAAGGACATAATCTATAACAAAAAGTAAAATAACAAATCACAAAAAAACAACTGAAAACCAAATACACGAAGCCATAACAAAAAACGCACAAAAATTGTGTTGAAATCAGTCTTCCAAGATTTGCGCAAATGTTATTAATCAAAAGTCAGTATTTTATGTCTTAAAGCCTTAGCCTTAATGGCAGCTAAAAAAATAGGAATACTTTTTTTGCATTTAACAAACAGCCAACCATCACAGTCTGATGTCCACATGTGGGACATCTGTAAACACCAGTAACATGCTGTGCACCAACATTCCCTCACATTTAATTGGCAACAACATATTCTTTTGCACACAGGAACACAGTAAGCAAAAGTGATAAGATCCAGCTTTTAAAAGATCCTAAATTTTATGTTGTACATGAATTTCAGGCACCTTAATTAGACTTCAGGACAAAGATGTAATCTGGATCGTATTAAGAGAGTAACATCCTCGAAGCTCGCTCTCACCTTTACTGTCCTTTGCCACTCTCATTTGTAATCTAGCCGGCACAGCCACCAGTATTGGTCATGGCAGTATACTTGTGACATTAGGAGGCACCTCGGTTCCACGGGGATCCACAAACGTTAAGCACAAATACGGCGTGAAAGTCACACAGCCTGAGCTGCGAGGAGACAAACAGACCAAATGCATGAAGCTTGTTAGTCAAGGTCCCCTAATTACCCAACAGTTCATGCAAGGCTGTCCCAATTGTGCGATCTAGTCTCCATAAAAGTGATGCCATGGAGACTGTTAACTCTTTTCAAATACAGCACTGCTTCCCTGCCTGGTTAGGATTAACAGACACCCCCCCCCCCCCCCCCATTTATCTGAAACCTCACGTCAGTAAAAGCTGATTGCTTTTCTTGCAAGCCGCCAAACAAAAAAGCTGTGTTCAAATTGAACCGTGTCTGGATGTACTTGCACCGTGATGCAAAATTCACTGCTGCCAAGTCCTGCATGAGTCATAAAGTGAATCATGATGTAACACCAAAATGACAGTGATCTTTAATAATACCCATCATGCACATATCCCTCATAATGGATGGCGGGCGTGTAATTGGATATGATTTGGCTCATTAGATGATGAACAGCCAACAAATTGGGCCTTGTCCTTTGCCAACAGCACGGGTCACAGCAATCAGTCAGTCACCCTAAAAGAGTCATCCAGTCTCCGTTTGGGATTACAGCACCAGAACTGAAGCCAAATATTGTTCTGCCTGGAGAGGTACCAGTAATGTTGAGTGCTCTTGAGGTATATTTAGCTTCATGTACAGGGAAGAGCTTTTCAGCTTGAAGAACTGGAACAACSAAGAGCTTTTATGTTCCTCCCAAATGCATGAGATGCTATGACTCATTTCTATAAGCATACCTGTGTCAACACTCTAACTGGCTGAGAAATAGTCTAAAAAGCCCTTTTAATCCCAGCCTGGTTGGAGGATCTTTCATTAAWTATTACTAGACTGCTGAGATGTGAACATCATGTGGCAACAATTGGTGGCAGATGAAGGAAATGGCGGGGGGTGGGTCCAGGGTCGAGGTCTGTTTTTGAGTCTTGGCCTTCCTGCACACAAGCTTAGACCTCAGAAAACAAGTGAATAAAAAATGGTCCACTTATACTCTAATAGTTAATATTTTGTATCTTTGGTCATTTTTATGGTTCTGTTTTTTTATTGTGTTGTGCAAAAAGTCAAACAGAAACAGGCTCTTAAACTTAAACGTRTTAAATCTGCAGTTTCCTATACATTTGCAATGAAAATTTATRTTCAGCAAGTGTACTTTATGTTCTGTAGTTGCTTGTTTTCATGGGTTTCATTAGAAAACAGATTCCTTATTCTAAAGTTCAGTAATGCATCCACACATTAAAAGTTTGCGGGCAGTTTTTAATGTTTAAAATCAGAATGGCACAAACATTCTTAACCTAAATGTGCAATACAAATGTTAAAGTATTARTTATTGGAAACACTCACTAACCCTCCCCAAGGTAACTATTTTGGGTCTTTTAAGGAAAATTTAAAAAACAATACAAAGTGTAATTTTTGATGACACTGTTTCATTTAACAAACAAATAAATGCTGCCATTTTCTCCATTCTTTTCACTTGTCTAGTTTCACACATGTTTTATGTGTAAAGATTTTCTTGGTCAAAGCTTGATGTCATCACCCACTGACAAAGGCAAAAAAACAAAACAAAACAAAACAAAACACTGTTTTGATAAATTTGAGAAGATTCAGACTCAAAAAAGGGGGCAGATGCCATAAGTTTTTTTTCTCACCTCTGCTTCCTTTCATTTTATTTACTGTATAAATTGTTGTTTGAAATAGAAAATAGAAAACCATTGACATAGTTTGCCAGTGCAGTAAAACAATTACACTTGGTAAGATTTCTTGAAGAAACATTTTCAGACTAACAAGAATTATAATCTAACACATTCTGCTTCATTCTTGCTTATTATCTCAAATAAGATCAAAGATACTTTTTGGCTCAATAAGACTCTAAGACTGTTTGTTTGTCTGTTTTGTTAGCAAAATATCTCATGGACCACTAGATGGATTTTAATTAATACTTATTTGATGTACATCTAAAACCTGTGAACTTTTGTTATCATTTCGACGCAAATTCTGCATACTGTTTGGTGCTGGCAGAAACTTCACAGATGCAGTTTAATGCAATGGTGCCACTGTGTGGACAAAAGCTTCATATACACAACAGGGGTAGAACTTGATGATTATATGCTATTCAAAATCATTAAAAAATATTTCACATGGAGTTTTAATCTTCAAGTAATTAAACTTTCATAATAWGAAATGATAAATGAGTTATTGTAGCTTGTTTGTTAGTTTCCTTGTTGAGAACCAGCCAGAGCTCAGGGAGGAAAGCTTCAGATTGCAAAACAAGGAAGATGACCAGTATTTACAGTTTCGTCTTGGACAGTTTAATTTTGTTCGGCTGTAAACTCCTCRCTTGGCTGCCATGTTCACCTTATTTATGTGTGACACTCACCTAACTTAAGCTGGTCTTTACTCTTTACCCTGCTTTTAACAACTAAACAGTGGAGTATTTATGGCATGGGAAGATAACAAATGCTAGGTGCAGAGTTATAAAAAGGACAGGCTGTGACACAAGTCATGACGGACTGTGATCTTCCATTATTTAACTCTCCACATGCTTGTTTTTAGCGACAGACGGCTCATGAACAAGTTGTATTTATTAGAATTTTCTAATGTAGTTTTTTTTTCGTCTTGTGGATTTTTATTCTGAGATAGTCATCATGACAAACCACAACCCAGCCCGTGTAGTGCTCATGTTGTTTGGATTGTTTACCTTTTTAGCTGCAATCATGTTCAACCTCCTCTCAGGCTTTGGGTCGAAATCAGGTGAATATTGTTTCAGGATGGCGGGGTTCTGGTTGAATGAAGGATTTCAGATTAAAATGCTAAACTCTGAATGCAGGTGTCTTCATGCAGCGCACAGAGGATGTCACACTCAAGTACACGACACCCTTAACTCCAGCTCAGTGGGCGTTTTTTGTCTGGGATTTCATTTATTTTTGGATTTTTGCCATGTTTATATACTTTCTGGCCGGACTCTGCAGAAGGTAAGCATCATTTATTTTTATGTCACACTGCATTTACAAAAGATGGAAATGCTCCATAGCTTTAGTCAAGTGTAGGAGTGAGTCTTTTTTCTCGCCCTCTTGTGATGTTGCACGTGGAAAAAAATAGCCCCGTCTTGTCTAGAAGCCATTTAGTCCCACTCTAAGCAGCTTTTTTCTCATTACGTGCTGCAGATTGCTCAAATGCTGCATGAAAAGAGAGCTTATTTCCACATAGGTGCAATGTATTTGCTGCAGTGTAGTTTCGCCACCCATTTCTAACAATATTATCCTTCCTCTCCTTCAGGAGCTCTTATGACTGGATGTACACCACGCCTGCAGTGCTGCCCTATGGATTTCATGTCACTACTATCATCAACCTTGGATTGAACATTACATGGTTGTTTCTGTATGACAGAGAGTAAGTGCACTGGTTCTAGCTGACTGTGTTTATTCGAGACAAGACAATCGAGTGCACCTTGTGCTGTCATTTCTGATGTGTGGTTTTCCTCTGTGTTTGTAGGTTGCTACTGCTAGTGCTTATAACCTCAGGACTAATGACAGTCACAGATTATATTATTCTGTTTTTCTCCTGCTATGGACTGAAGATTTATGGAGCTTGGTTGAACAAATACCACAACGCAGACCTCTGGATCTTCAGAGTGTTGGTAAAGCCATAAATATAGAGCAATATTCTGCACGGAGATTCAATTTTGTGCCCCGTTGTGTGAAGAAAAAGCTTGTAAAAGACTCAAAACAGCTATGATATGCAAGTGTGATAGGTGGCATGTGGTAAAGCAAACAGGGAATGCTCAATAATGTTTTAACTATTTATTGTCCTGTTTTCAGCCTGTAGACACACTCTAAAATCTAATTTAAAGAGTGGAATTTTTTTTATGAGACTAGGTAGCTAGAGAGAGTCAAGCCAGGCAAAAACCAAGTGAGGAGATAAGATAAAGCTGCAGAACAGACACGCATTAGCAGCTGAAGTAGTTTCATTCTGGTTAATATTAACAAAGCCCAAGATTGAGTGAGAAATAAACATATGTTTGCGTCTATTGTTGTACAGCCTATAACTTCCTAGTAGAAATGGGGCGGCAAGCGTAAAATATAATGTTAAATAGTGTCACTATTTTGACTATTTAGCTCACTTTCTRATTGTAAAATCCTAGTTAAAATTTTTTCYACTAACATTTTGCTAATTTTTACTAAAGCCGTTGCTTTTGTCGCAGGGTGATGACCTCTAATGCTGCTAACGCTGCTAACACAGATGAAGATAGCATTTAAAAATTAAATTCAAAATGTGTTCATTGAAAACAATATGGATGGTACCTGTGGTCCAGCAGTTTGAACTGCAGCTTGGACACCAGCCACAGCTGCAAGTTTGGTGTCTTGAAAGTGAGCGTTAGCAGTGTTAGCGGCATTAGCGGTTGCTTTTGTCTCAGGATGATGATGTCATAACAAGAGCCAAACACCAAGAGCAAAAACTTCATTCTGAAATATGTAAACATCAGCATATAGCCGCAACATTTAAGATTTAACTTTTACAAATGGTGGCTCAGTTGGTGGAGCTGAAGCCTCTTGGCAAGAAGGTTGCTTGATCAAATCTTTCAGGGACCTTTCTGGATAGAGTTTTCATGTTCTCTCCACACCACACCACCCCACACCACACCACACCATACCACACCACACCATACCACACCACACCATACCACACCATACCATACCATACCATACCATAC